CCAGCGTGGCCACGATGGTGCACTCTGACCCACACATCTTCCCAAAGCTCAAAGTGCCTTTCTTGTTGGTATCCTTCTCCCGTCTTAGGGCTGAACCAGCTGGAAAAGAGGTTGCTTTTCAGTTGATGCTGGCAAGTGGGAGACTGGCCTGAGCTGGTTGTAAGACAACCCCCCCCCCCTTGCCATTATTTCTCTCACCCACCTCGAGAGTTTCCGAAAATGCCGGCTAGATCAGGAACTAGTTAGATATCAGAGATCCAAGTTTAAGGAGAGAACATAACTCACGATGCTACAATGCATGTACTAGCGAGATGACGACATCCTCCATGATAGTAGCAAATGTGGCGGAAAACACTGTAATAGATACGAACCTATCTGTAACTCAGCCAGTGGGTACAAGGCCATTTCAATAATTTGAAAGTATAAATTTCTTATTTTCCTGGCACAATTGCTTTTACTTCAGTCAGGTGGATTATAGTAGGGATTAAGATTTAATTTATTCAAATAAGTTTATTTTTAAATATTTTTTTTATTTCGGACTGTTGTTATCGCTCCTAGTAGTTATGCATACCTTTCCATTTGGTATTCGTACATACCGGCACGTACCGCTTTCATAGTCGCCCGATGAGCTACAGAAGCAATTTTGCTGGCGTATCTCATTACCTTAATTGGACATGAATACATCGAAAGATTGAAGAAATAGTTGTTTGCGATTAGAGCCAATCCAGAGAGGCTTACCTCAAGTTCTTTATCCGTTTTGAGAACGCGTAATTCAGCCATGATGGGGTACAAAGTGTCGACGTCGATATCGAATCTAAACACAAGTAAATAGGGCTCTATTTCGAGAAGTCCATGATCGACTTTCTCTAGATTTTGTCATGCAAGTTTGCTATCTGTTTTGTTTGAGTCCTTTCTAAGGTGATCTCCAGTATGACATGGTGTTCGTCATCCCTGGCGCTGTGTGATTTTATATTTCCAGGGGTTTCATTCCCGTTTTCAATTCCAGCTTACTCTGGTTAGATGGGGTGAGTACTTCTGATCAAAGCAAATAATTCCTCGCCTACCTTCAGTTCTTCAGTGTTCATGCGAAAATGATACTAGGTCGAAATCGCGTGAGCATTTTTTTGTTCGTGTCGGAAGCGGTAGTGTCTCCTATATGGATCCTTCGACTAACATTGAAATAGTACTGAATTGCATGAACTGTCTACGACAGGCCCTCACTCAGCATCACCTGTCGTCTCGTTGATCATCGATTTCCTCGAGCGAGCGACAGT